CACAGAAAAGCCCAAATAAGCCTTTTTGGCTGCTTAGCATAATTCTTCTGATCTATTAGCTGTTTCCAAAAATGTTACCTCTTTTCCTAAAAAGGTTGAGAATATTTCCTACACTTCTGCTTGATGCAGTTTCCTAGAATCACCTTGATTTTCAAACTTGCAGATAGAGGCGATAAACCAGAATTTATTTTTATTGTTCCCTGATCTTCCATTTCCCCCCTATACCCTCTGTCAAGTAAGTACCTGCATTTTCACTATTTCTTCTGAAGCCTTTTTTCATACAAGAAAAGCATTTCTTCAAATGGTGCTCCTGTGTATAGACAAAGCTCTGAAGCTGGAGTCAGGGATTTTGGATGCCTATATTTTTAGATAGAAAATCAATTTTTGGCTGCAGTCATAAGAGAAGCTGGTTTAAAGAAAATGAACCAGTTCTCTTATTTCATATCTTCTAAAGCATGTCTAAATTCAGGTAGTTTGAGTACTAAAAGCATTACTAAAACCAAACAAGCAAATTCTTTCCCCCTGCCTCTCACACACCCTACCCTACAATAGTAACGAAAGTAAAAAATAGGGTAACGTTGTGATTCAGATCTTTCTACTTATATAAGTGAAACATTAAGGAGCAAGTACAAAGTTTGTTTTCAACTCTTGCTTTGTCAAACAAAACAACCCAAACCTAAATAACAATAGTCTAAATCATTTTTCCCTTTCCCGCAAGTTTATGAGCTTTAGCAGGGAATATAAATTCCACAAAGCTTCAGCGCTTTTTTTTCCTGAAATAATCCAAGGATATTCTCAATAACTTGTAAACCTTGGGAAAAATAGTTTGGAAAACTTGGTATCTCTTCTCGGCTTTTGGTTATGACAACAGCTAAAACAGCAATTTTTGAGGAATGTAAACTATTTAAAGCACTGGGATCAGGGAAATGGGAAACAATAATCACAGGTTTTGTAAGTGACTCAAATGAGAGTGGCTGGAGGAAACCCCTACCCTTCGGAGATTCTTCAAGCAGTCCCCGGCAGGACAGGCTGTCTTTGGGGACCAGCCTCGCCGAGGACGGTGGCTAGAGGCGGCGGAGGCCCGGGCCGGGCCGGGCCGGGCCGCTCCCTCCCAGGGGCCGGGCCGCTCCCTCCCGCGGGCTGGCTGCCGTAGGCCGCCCGCCTGCCATTGGCCCAGCGCCGCTTCCCGCCTCCTTTGAAAGCCGGAGGAGGGAGGGCGGCCCCGGCGCCTCGGCACTCGAGTGGCGGGGCCGCGGCGGAGCGCCGGCCGCAGCGGGAGGCCGCAGGTAATCCCCGGGGGGGGGGGGGGGGGGCTGACTGCGCTCAGGGGCTTCCCTCGGCAGGGTTGAAGGCGGGTTCAGTTGACTTCAGGGAACTTCACTGAGGTTTCTTTGCACCGGGGTCTGCTCGCACGGTGGTAGCGTTAATCGAAATCATCTAAGTTTGTATGCGAAGTGTAGCGGTGCTTGTTGTGACAGCTTAGTGCTTTATAGTAGGTAGTATTTTTTTTTTTTCTTTGCCTATTTATTTGGGTTCAGCTTCCAGTGAATCGTTAAGGTAGGCTTGCTATCTAAGCAGCTGAACTTGTGGTTTTGCTAGCTGTGATGGTTTATAAACGTGGTTCTTAAGATCCTAACCCCTACAATAATAGGGCAGTACTGTGTGCTTTTGAACTGCGATGCTTATGAAGTAGTAGCGGGAAAACTTGTCTTACAATTTCTTTTGTGCATTATCTTTTCATCTACTTTCCAAAAAATAGTGATATTAATTGTGAACCTATAAAGTAAGCTTTTATCTTCTTCTAAAGCCTTTGGTGAAGAAGAACTAGTGAATTGATTAAGATAATTAGCTGGAGATGTGTCACTGCCAACATGCAGGTAGTTCCAAAATTGTGAAACTTACTGTTGTTATGTGTTAAGTATTTAGCAAGTGTACGCTCATGAATCTTTTCATTAATTGATATTTTACATACATTTGGCTTTAGTGTGTTTTATTCTTTTGCAATTGGATGGGAATAATAAATCATTATGTAGTTACTTCAGTTGTTTCAAGGTAGGAGTATCAACTAGGACCTTCATAGATATAATACAGCTGCTGTGAGAACCAGAGTACAGAATACGTTAGATCTGTATAGAAGTAATTTGAAGGATTACCCCAATTTATATGCTACTTGAAGAAAAAGTAAGGAAGTAGTTTGTGCAGCTATGCTTATGGGGTGCTACAAGACACCTGTGTAAAATACCTATGTATGTTTTCATCTGCCCTTAACATAGCTGTATCAAAGGCTACAAATATGCGTGAATTCATTGGAACGCGTGTGCTTACACAATTCATTAGTTCTGAAACTACTTAGGCTGAGCACAGATATATAGTTCTTCCCTACCAAGTTGTTGCATAGATGTCTGCTATGACTTGGCTACAGAAGTAGACTTTTTCTTGTACTAGTGCTTACTCTGTCTGTAAACTGTAAAGTCAGCTTGAACTAGAAATTCCTATACGGTTCTTGCTTCCCCCCACATAAACCCCATCTTGCAGCTTTAGTTCCGTCCCATGGCAGTCCTAAGCAGGATTCTGCTGGTAGCTGCTTTTGAAAACTGCCTGGGTGTCTCTTTGGAGATAGTCAGAATTTTAATGCACAGGCTGGCTGCGTTCGTTTACTGTTTCCAATAATATCCCTGCTGATCTCATGAAAGGGGAAAAAAATAAACAGTAATGAAAAAGATGTTGGGTTTGTTCCAGCTGAAAGGAACAGTAATTCTTTTTCCTCAAAACTCTTCATCTCTCCCCCCTCCCTCCTGTCTACCTCCCTGGGAGGTGGGAGAGCATGTGACTTGTATGTTGGTCTCCCCATGGAATTTTGTATGTGTGTGAGAGGTTTCTTTTTTCTCATCAAATAAGTCATCATTCCGCAAGTCTTAAATCCTCTCCCTCATAATTCCTGTCTGGAAAGGACTTGCAAATTTAATCTAGTTTAAAGTAATGATCAAGAGATGCGCTGCTAATTCCTCTGCCAAGTTTTGTGACTTCACAAATATGCCACTTGCTCTCAAAAGTTTGATGCTATGCAAGACTTGCAAACAGTAGCTGCCAAATTAGTTACAGACCATCTCCTGCAAGCTGCTCTTTATAGATGTACCTCTGGGCTCAACGGGAGCTCCATGACCAAGTTCTACACTTCCTCAACAGGTCACCTGTGAGGATGGGCTTGTAGAGTTGGATGTGAACTGTAGCCTTGAACAGAGTGAGCTTATGTACTGTTATTTTTTGCTCTCTCAAATGCAGTGCTTCAAAGAATGTTAGTTGAAAGACAGTGTTTCAGCTGACTATTGTATCTAAATAACTTGGAAAAATGCCAGTAACTTTTCCTTTCTTTCCTTTTAACCTTCCTTCCTTAAATGGCTTTTTTTAATTAAAAAAGAGGGGGGCCTCTGTCTAGCATTTGTTGTTATCTATAAGTATGTTTGCCTGTAGATACTTTTTTTTTTTTTAGTCTCATTACTATTTCTATTCTTGAACTGTTACCAGTCAGTCGTCATCCTCTTTGAGTAACATTTTCAAGTAAAACCCAATTCTGCAAAGACTTGTACATATTTAAGTGTATGCATTTAAGCATGTGTATTAATTTTTGTAACCAGTTAAAAGCAAAGAACCTGCTTCACCCATGATACCTCTGCTCTTTTTTCAGATTCAGTTTAAAGGATGCATTTATTACCTAGTTATAGGAATTGGAGGGGGGGGTGTGTCTGGGTGCATTGGAGCAGGCAGTGAAGAATGCTGTGAAATTCCAACAGATTTCTTTGATCCAGCACTACAGGTGTGTGTGTTCACCTGGCAACAGGAACAGCAGTAGTCTGGCTGGGCTGTTTATAGGGTTATAATACACCATTCATGTTAAACCTGCAGGAAGGAAAACTTAAAATCCCAGCCTCCTGTGTGTGCCTGTGTGCCAGCCCCCTGCCTGGCACTATTGGATCAGGGCAGAGTTTCCCTGTCCCACAGAACTATGAGAGTGCAGAAAATGTTTCCACCCTGTGCTGGAATAAAGCAGATTTCCCCCTTCCCCCAAGCTTTTGTGGAAAAAAAAAAAAACAAAGTGTGAGCAACCCAAGCAGAATAGCCAATGGCTGGGTGAAGGGGACTTTCCAGGGCTGTAACAAACACCGGGTCAGGTGCCTTCCTTGAATCCAGGGCTGTGGAGCGGGTGGATGAGTTGACACCTTCTGTCTCTCTCCCTCCCCCCCTCGCCTATCCCATGTTTGTTACACTGGAAGGCTCCCAACAAAATCTGGATTGATGCATAATAATGGAGAACTCTTAAAAACAGAAGGGGGGGGGGGGGCGGGAATCCCTACCTCTCCACCCCGTAAATACAACCCCCCCCCCCCCAAGTCAAATCCGAGGACAGGGTTGGAACGCGTGAGAAGCAGGGGGGCTTCAGTGACCTCCAACCTTCAGTCGAGCAGAGATTCCGGGAAACTAAAATCCGCCGGGAAGCCTCTCCCTGGTGCGGCTGGGGAGGGGCGGGGGGGCCTGTGGGACCCGCGCCGCTGCCACCGGGCTGGCTCCGGCGAGGGGTGGGCAGCCCCTCGTCTCCCAGCTAACGTTTTACGGGTGCAGCGTAGCCGTCGGTACCCCGTTTGGCGAGCTAGCTTAATCATTCCCCCGCGGCAGGGCGGGACGCGTGTGGCCGGCGGAGGAGAAGGCGGCCGCGGGACACGGCCGGTGGATCCGGGGAGGGGGGAGGCCGCGGAAGGGAACCCGGAGCTCCGCAGCGGCCGAGACCTCGCGTACCCCGGAGGAGGTGCCACCCCCGGCGCGGTTAAGGCGGCTCGGCCGCGCCCCGGGAGGAGGCTCCGCCGCTGCCGCCACCGGGCCGGAGCGGAGCCGGGAGCGAGCGGGCGGGGCCGCGCCACCTTTAGCGGCGGGCGGGGGCTCCGCGGAGGTCCTGCCGGTTTTTCTAGCCCGGCCTCCGAATAGCAGCAGCGCCGGGGTGAGTCACTGTTTGGAAATGGAGTGGGCGGCTCTGTGTGTGTGAGCATGAATGATGTCAGGCGGGACCGCGGCGAGCAGGAGATTCGCGGTAAACACGGCGGCGGCCCCCGGCCCGCAGCCGCCCCCCGGCCCCGGCGCTGCTGAGCCGGCGCGGCGGGCGGGGAACCCCCGCGGAGCGTCAGCCTCCGCTGCCGCCCTTAAAGGCGGTCCCTGCGCCCGGGGAGGTGGGGGGAGATCAGGCTGAGGCTGCCGGAGGAGCCAATTGCAGGGGAAGGTAGAGATTGTGGCAAACTTTCTAGCTGCTTCTGCGTGCGGTTGCCTCGGTGGTGGGAGTGTCTGGCCATAAGGAACTGCAAAGCCCAAACCGGAGTGCCGTGAGGCTTCAGAAAAGACTTCCAGCTGCCTTTAAAGGAGGAATTGCCAGCAGTGCGAGCTTTTACCGGTACGGCTGAGTAGGTAAGTTGGGAACGGCACAAGTGGATTAAAAGCCTGGCGTAACACAGACACGCACTTAGAGAACCGCTTTCGCAGAAGACCTCTCCACCTGAACTGGACAGAGACTGGCTAGAGCCGCCCTGCACTTGCAGTCTCTTGCGTTTCTAGAGTATGTATGTTTTACCTGTAAAATAGTCTTAGTTTTACTCTTGAAGAGGCCTCCCTAACTAGGGACGGCACCTGCTGTTTTTGCTTTCTCTTGCAAATGTAATGCATGGAACATACTTAGTTTGCTAGTAAAATTCTGTGTTCTTGATGTGAGTAATGTGTGCATACCATTTAGAGCAGTACCACATACCTCGATGAACAGGAGAGGCCCTCAAAATGCCTGGTTTCAGCTACGGAAGATAAAGGATTACTGTAAGGATCATAATGGCATTGTAAATGTGCATTGCTGTAGGGCTTGTTTGCTTGGGATTTTGTTTTGTGGGTTTCTTGCCTTTTTTTTTTTTTTTCTGTATGCCTGCTCCATTGGGGCCACTCTTAAACTTCCTGAAGTGCAGCCAAACTAAACTTCTTGACTTAGTAGCAGAGTGCATTTCTATTAACATTGCGTGGTTTCTGGCTCAAATTTATCTCAAAATCCTTGTGAAAAGTAGTTAACGCGTACTATTCTGGCAAGATAATAAAACTCTTGGAATACAATGTAGACTAGCTGTTGTTCAGTTGAATCCATTTCTAATATTTTTAATTTATTTTTTAAGACATTAGAATATAAAATACCTATCTGTCCTCAAACCACTTAACAGCTATTAATTTATACACAGTTAATTATGTAGGTGAATGGTTCCGTAGAAGTATTAGCATAAACCAAGCAGGTGCACAGGATTTTCTGAGACAGCAGGCCTTACAGTTTTGGCAAGCTTTACTTGAAGTTGCATTTATTAAATGGTTTGCCTAAAAAACAAACTGCTTTTTAAAATTGTATTTAATGTAGTTGCTTATGTGCATTATTATTTGACAGTTTTTGGAGACTGTATAGTCTCAGATAGTTTTTCTGTGAAACCAGTAACTTTATTTTAATGTAATTTAGATGATCTAGGGCTTAATTTACTAGAAAGGTAAATGTGCTTGAATCCATTTTTTTTTTTTCTTTTGGATAGGTTTTATATTACCTTTCAGTAAAAATTCGTAATCCATGTCTGTTTTTAGAAAAACATATACTTGTGTCTCTGTCCTTTAGAAAAATATTCTTCAGGTGTACCCTTTGTAGTATGTGCAGTCACAAGGGGTATTTGTACAAATCAAAGTGTGTGTGGGGAAACTTCAGGTGAAATTGTAAGGTGACAACAGTTCTATGTAGCTAAAGGCCCCTAATGGGAATGTATAAGTTCACTTCAAGGACAGTACAGAAATCAATGGAGAAATTAAAACTTGAAGAGAGCAAGGATGGATTTTGTTTTTCTACTTTTAGGTTGGTAATCTGAACCTAGAAATATGGTACCCCTAAATTTTAAATATTGAGCCATGGTTGGCATGTTGATAAGCATCTGTTTTTCTGGATCATAAGTGTCTTGTGATTGTAATACTGTAGGACAAAAATGGTAGGGCTTAACAATCCTGTTTTCATGAACTAGTTTTCTTCTCAAATCAAAACTTCATGTTTTAAGTGGACATCAGAATTAATATATGGATGCAGTATTGTGAAAAGCTTCATATTTCCTTATTAGTTAAGAAAAAAAAAAAAACACCACAAAACCCAAACAACCCTCACATACAACATACCTCCCTATCTCTGGGAGAACTGAATAAGAGACTTCATATCTAGTATTTTTCATTCTAAAAAATTGAGAGTTCTTTGTTTACAGTGTATTAGTATACCAAATACAAGTTTGAAGACTGGAAAGTATTGTGATTTTTAATGATTAACAAAATAAAAACAAAATGGAAATAAGTGATGAATTTTAAAAATTAGTAGTTTTTCTTAAGAACCAGGGAACATAAAAGAAGGTTTTTGAAGAAATGGCTCATTACAGTTAAGTCTCGCAGTATAGAAATAGATTTTGAAGATGAAGATATTTGTAACAAAATTGTATGCATCTTCTCTTAGGATTTTTTTTTTCTAATTTTGATGGGCTGTTGGACTTTTGTTTTTTGATGCTGTTTGTGGGGGGTGGACAATACAGACGTTGTGACGTTTTATTTAGTATGGATATGGTATTGCAGTCATCCAAACAGATGCTGGGAAGATTAATGGAACAGTAGGTCCACTGTCTTCAGAGAACTCTGTCTGCTGGGAGAATTGTTTGTACCATGGACACCAATGTCCCTGAAGATGTTGCAGGGACTAAGAATGTCAGGCATCCAGGCACCGCTGTCCTAGCAGATGCTGGAGACCTTAAGAGCTGCTGATGGGAAAGTTTTTATGTAACACCAATAGCTTTGTCTTGTCCATTCTGCACCTGTTTGAATGATATTTCTAAAGTATGTTAAACCCACCTGTTTTAGGGAGGCTTCAGAACTTTAATAACCACAGGTGTCTCCAATATTAGGACACTTGCTTATGCTATCACTCTTTCTCTTCCCCAGGATACCTCTTGTGTGGACATGTGTGTAATATAAAGTAGTTCCTACCAATATAGTTGGTTTTGGAAGTCTACTTTATAGCTGTTGATATGAATTTTAATAGGACTGAACTGTCTACTAAAACTATATCAGCTTCAGAAAAACCTGTTACCATCTAGCTAACACATACAGTAACTGTAATACAAGGGACTTCTGTGCCTTGAGGTCATGCTTATGGTTCCTGAGTAAAACTTGCTACCTTGCTGTGTGTTAAGTGCCTTTCAAAATAAGCAGTGTCAAGCATGGGTCCTCTTGTTGGCAGGCTGATGGTACTAGAAAATATTGAAGCCTAGTCTGCTGTACGGCTTAAGAAATTAAAATAGTTTGTCAGAGTATCTGAAGCTGTTGAGTTAATTATTGCAAATAGAATGGTTCTTAATAAAACAGTGTTCAGGTCTAAATCCTCAAAGAAAATAATTCTTGAGCATGATTACTCAGGAAAACTTCATTGCAGTCACTCTGGAAAGACAGTTTTATAGTGAAAAAGCACCTTTTCAATGTTTAACTTTTGTTTTTCCGGGTAAAATACCTTTTCTCAGATGTATAACCCCCTAGTAAAGGAGAACATCCCATTTGTTTGAAGGTACCTGAACAAAAAAACAGTTGTCTTGCTTTCACTTTCCTCAGTTTTAGGTTGGTTAACTTGCAACTGCCATGTTTAACTTTCAAGGAAGTTCCACTTATTTTTTTTTTGTTTGTTTGTTTACGAAGTTTGTAACAAATTAGCTGCTACTGGAGTGGAACTGAGGCTCCCAAAGGGTGAGCTTTGCTGCTACACAAAGCAGTGTCTTAATAATCCTGGCTTTTAGAGTTACTTGCTACTCCTGTAGTCTTCTATTTCCTTTTGTCTAAATCTTCAGATTTCCTTAGGCTGAACTTACTGGGATCCTGTGCAGTGCAGTAAGCTTCACACTAAGCTCTGCGGTGTTTTCATGTGTCTGTGGTTACTGATGCAAAGTGGACTAGGGATGTATATCTCTTCTACCTTGAGAAAAGATGGTGAGCCTCTTGGGTGCAGTACTGAATGTTTTGTTAAGTTGCATCAGCTTAATGTGGGTGACTGAAGCTGAACTGTTGCAAAGCACTTGCAGACACTTCTGTTCAAGAATGGCTAAATTTGAAATGAATTTGTTCAAGATGATTTTTTTGATTTATCAGTAATCTGGAATCTTAAATGGAGCAGGTAGAGTTAAATACAGTTCCTTAGATAAGATGTAAGCATATCATGCATGGCTGAAACTGAGTAGAAACGTTGGGAGTACAAATAACGATTAAATGTGTATCTGCAATTACAGTGATGTTACTTTGATGGTAAAAGAGATGGACATCATGAGAGGAATTGATCAAAGCAAGCAAAACAAAACCGGGAAGCTAAATATATTCAAGCTGTTTGTTCTAATCGCTATCTGAGAATTTACAAACTGTCTGCAGCAATTTGTAATCACTGTTTTTTCAGAAACTCCCCAGGCAGTTGGTAATGTTCTTAGTGAAATATGATGTTTGAGGCAGCCTTACCTGTTGCTGGTCATAAACCAGTGTGTTCTATGTAAAGTTATGTAGCTTTTATTCATTTAGGACAGAAGATCTTTTTGCCTAGTGTCTCTGATACCTTAGGCCCAGTCTTGCTACTTTGTAAACTCAAACATTCTAAGAACTAAGATTTAAGTGCTAATATGGGTTAAATCACACTAGTATGATAATTCAGTTTTTGTCCTTATGCAAGTTCTGATGGCAAAGTGTCATTGAGCTAGCAAAATTCACTGGAATTTGCATCTGTCAAGTGTAATTTATGGGAGGAGTTTCTTGTGTTTAATTGCAGATCTCTGGTGTTCATGCCTCTAATACGAGAACTTAAATTTGGTTTGTTGGTTTTTAAAATCTTGGTTAACTGTAAAATAAGCAGGAGTTGGTAGCCCTATCAGAGTGCAGGAATCTGTCCAGCCTCAAAGAACAAGCCTCTGGCAGAGTCTGTCTAGAACCTGGATCTTGTAAGACCCAGTTTAAAGCCTGAAGCAAAAGGCAATGGTTTTCCTTTATTGAAGTGTTACTGCAAGTGTTTTGGCATGTATTACCTCCCCAATATATCTTCAATAGAACGCTTACATCTGTGAAAGTCCTTCAAGAAGTCACCTGCTCTCACTGACTGTTTTTTCCTGTTGAAATATGTTTGCATTTCTTAGTTTTCTGTCTAGAGCTTTTATTCTGATTAGCCTCCTAGGATCTTGAACTGTGTGATGAGTGCTGAATGACTCCCCACAACAAGTTTCGGTTCTGTGAAGTGTATGTAACAGTGACAAAATGTTTACTTATCTACACACCCAAGTTCCTGCTTACATTTACTCTAGTGCTGGACAGTTGGTTAGTGGAGCAGACCTAAATAAGTAGACAGTCTCCTT